TCCTCTTCTTTGTGGCAACCCCTGAGATATTGGAACACTGCTATCATGTCTCCCCTAGTCCTCTTTTTCATCAAACTAAACATGCCCAGTTCCAGCAACTGTTCTTCATATGTTTTAGCCTCCAGTTCCTTAATCATCTTTGTTGCTCTTCTCTGCCGTCTTTCTAGAGTCTCCACATCTTTTTTTACATCATGGCGACTGAAAATAACTGCTGTATTCCAAGTAGAATAGAATAGAATAACAGAGATGGAAGGAACCTTGGAGGTCTTCTAGTCCAACACCCTGCAGGAAACCTTATACCTTTTCAGACAAATGGCTATTCAACATCTTCTTTAAAACCTCCAGTGATGAAGCACCCATAACCTCTGGTGGCAAGCTATTCCACTGGTTAATTGTTCTTACTGTCAGGAAATTTCTCCTTAGTTCTAGGTTGGTTCTCTCCTTGATTAGTTTAGTTTCCATCAGTTGCTTCTTGTTCCACCCTCAGGTGCCTTGGAGAATAGCTTGACTCCCTCTTCTTTGTGGCAACCCCTGAAATATTGGAAGACTGCTAGCATGTCTCCCCTGGTCCTTCCTTTCATTAAACTAGACCTACCCAGTTCCAGCAACCGTTCTTCATATGTTTTAGCCTCCAGTCCCTTAAACATCTTTGCTGCTCTTCTCTGCACTCTTTCTACAGTCTCCACATCTTTTTTTACATCATGGCAATCCTTCAGGGAAAAGCCATTCAGACACAATAGGAACTGCACAACAAGCCCCTTCAGGGCATCAGCCCAAGCTTCAACGAAGCTTGACTCAGAAAACCTACAAGGGTAGCTATGACCCCCATAGCAGCCAATAGCTTGCACAGGAACAGGAAGCTTAAGGGCAAAGCCCTAGAGAAGGTATAAATAACCCTCACTCTCTACTCCATGTGGTTAGCTACCCCAGAATCACACGCGCTTGGGGGTTCTGCTTCACCATTAAACCATCTTTCCAATCAGCCTCCATGTTTCCAGTGTCTTTCTCCCCACTTGGGACTAAACCAGATGGATATTTCTTCCATCAGGTTAGAGGTGGGTTCTTACCAGTTCGCACCTATTCGGTAGAACCGGTTCATCAAATCTACCGAACCGGTTAGAAGAGGTTCCNGGACAACGTTCCTCCAGGCCTTCCTGTCCTCTACCATCCTCTGGAGTCCATTTAAGCTCACGCCGACTGCTTTGGTGACTCCATCCAGCCACCTCTTTCTCTGCCGTCCCATTCCTGTCACCAGATTCATTCTCCTCGCTTCTTTAACTTGTATTTACTCAGCTCACTACAATTAGATGGTTTGGAAAAACAACAACAAACCACTAACTAAGTCACCGGGCATGAAGTCAACTTTTGCCAACTGCAATGGCCGGGTTCACACATCAAGTTAAATTTGCAACAAACAAATCGGGTTTTTTGGCTTAATGCAATGTTTGCATCCAGCTTACAGGGAGTCTTGTGGCCAAAATACAATCAAAGCTCTCCTGGTATAACGCTGACTGTAAGTTACTTATCTGTGGATTTATAATCTGAATCCTTGTTCTTTAATCATGGAAAAAGGTGGCTGCCAGATTCAGTCAACAGGACAAAATGCTGGAGAGATTTCCTGGCTCATTTCCCCTGCTTGGCGTCTTTCATTTCTTACATTCTTCTCATCTTGGTTACTATGAAGATACTTCTTCTCTCCTTCTGCACCCCGTGGCCTCTTCATCCAATAAATCAATACAAGCCAACACAGAAAGGTTAGACAGTCCTTTGGTGAAAGCTCCAAGTCTCTGTTTACGTGCCCCGAGACCGGGGGGCTAAACATAGTTGGGAAGGGTAATGGAGAAGCGAAGTAGACATGGAACAGGCCTACTAAATCTTTGTCTCTCTTATTTTCAAAATAGCCGCAGCAGGATGAAAGATGCGTGTGCGCCACGCACAACATCATGGTTCCCACAGCAAGATTTATTGGGTGTGTAGAAAGTTAGCACCCTCCCCTCCCCTAGAAGAATGAAATATTTTGTGGAATATTTGAAGAGGCAGAATATTAAATTTCCCCTAAAGGAGAGATTGAAATCTTAAGGAAGACAGAGACTCAAAGCTTTAGCTGCCCGCCGCCAGGAGATATTTGGTGCCCATTGAGAAGGACTGGGCCAGCGTATCTACAAGACAAAAGACCTTCATCTCCAGGATGATGGGAGACTAGAATAGAATAGAATAGAATAGAATAGAATAACAGAGTTGGAAGGGACCTTGGGGGTCTTCTAATCCAACCCCCTGCCTAGGCAGGAAACCCTACACNTAGTCGCCAGTCAACACTGGCCGGCGGATGGAATTCGGAGGAGGCCTAATCTGTGGGATCTAATCGGTCTAGTGGAGGTGATTGGATTAGTTTCCACCCATTGCTTCTTGTCCTGCCCTCAGGTCCCTTGGAGAATAGTTTGACTCCCTCTTCTTTGTGGCAACCCCTGAGATATTGGAGATATTCACTTCGCAATTGTCTCACTTAAGCAACAGAAATTTTGTGTCCAATTGTGGTCATAAGCCAAGGACGTAACCTGTATTAGAGCTTGAGACAGTGTAAAAACAAGGTGGCCAAGGTTAAGGAGACAGGTTCTCCTTAAGTATGCTTGACAGAGTAATAGATCAATAATAATTATATAATAATCGCCAAGTTCACTGACTGTTCCGAGTCACTCTTCAGCAATATATTAAAGGATTAAGCAGTTGAAATTCAAACGGAACTTATTCAACCAGAATAATAGGAAGAGAAAACAAAATTTCAGTTTTGTCTTTTTCTTAAAAGGAGAAGAAAGAGAAATGTTTGCACATAATCAGAACTAAATGTCTTCCCCCCCCCCCCCTTGCATTGCCATTATCGCTTTTAAAATAAATACTAGCTTTATTGGAACAAACAGCAAACCCGTATTATATGTTACCCTTGCCTTTTTCCTCTTCCTGAGCACTGCTGGTTAAAATTCTTGTCTCCCCACAACCCTTCTCTTTGTACACATTAAAGAGAAATGCAAGGCTGTGGTGGTGGTGCATTAATGCATCCCAACCTGACAAAACAACTCTCTGATCTCTGGGGAGAACTGTCTGGGACGAACGCCGCCTTTATCGGTGCAAAGTGTAAAAATCAGAGCTCTGTCACCAGCACTTCTGGCCTCACACGGCATCTGTCACCCGGGAAGCTCATCAGCCGCTCGCCCAACATTGCGCGAGCTGATGTCGAAAGAGAAGGGTCTGAAATCCCGCTTGCAGGTTCGGCCTGCCCTTCCAGCTCGAAGGCAGCATGGAGGGAGCATCCTTAGAACGTCTTCTGGATAAATCCTCCTCTCTTTTTTTTTTACACGTTAACCTTGCCTGCGGTAGCAAGGAGTCGAGTTCGAAAGGAGCGCGCGAGGGACGGCAGCCCGAAAGCCAAGATCGTCCACCCACTGCTGGTTTTCGTTCAGCTCTTCGCCCGTTGACTTGTTAAAAGGGGCAGACCGTGTCCGAGTCGGACCGTGAGAATGAAGAAAGTTTCCAAAGGGGTCACACCTATAGACGGTGGATTTAGTCACTGTCCCGTCATGTTTTTGCCATCACTCGGCACACAACCACCACAATGGAAGCCACAATTAACTGTGTGGAGTCTTGAGTGAGACGGTCGTTCTAAGTTTGTCTAAGTGAGACTGTTGTTAAGTGAATGTCNTTCCCAGAATCCCCTGCCAGAGGGAAATCAGCAACTCCCAGAATCCCCTATCAGGGGGAACTACAACTCCCAAAATCCCCTACTGGGGTGAACTACAGCTCCCAAAATCCCCTGTGAGAAGGAACTGCAGCTCCTACAATCCCCTACTGGGGGGGGGGGGAGAACGGGACTGCAGCTCCCAGTATCCCCTTTGACAAGGAACTGCAATTCCCAAGAATCCACCACCAGAGAGGAACTGCAGCTCCCAGAAACCCCTGTCAGAAGAAACTGGAAGTCTGCAATTGTGGCTTGACTACAGTTCCCAGCAGCCCCAGTCGGAAGAGTGGCATTCCTAACAAAATATATATGCATATTGATCCAGGTCTTTGTATCTCCATAAGCATCTATCCATATCCTTGTTAACTTAAGTATGTGTCCCATCTGTAGCATTATACAAATCTTTTTCACACAATTTTTCTCTTCATTGGCAGGGTTACCTCGGAAACTTCCATTTTATTTCAATTTGAAGTGAAATCTAATTTTGGAATGGATCCCAAACCTGTCTAGCCTCTTTCTTTATGAAAGCAGTTTATTTATGGCTTTGAATATTGAATTGATCATTTTTTTCTCAAGCGATTGGGAAAGGAGGCACATAAATATTTGTAGCACCTCTCTGAACTCAGAAGGGAACATCGCACTAAGCAAATGTACTGTGGTTCAGAGCAATGTGGAAATTTGCCTCTGTGTATTTAATAATTATAACTTTGGCTAGCATGTTGCTAAGGGTTAAGCATTGATTCTTGAGCCTTCAGATGATAGAATTAAAATCTCTATCAAGCTCAGTGGATAAATGTATATTCTGGTGTGATTGGCCAAATTACTGCTAATTTCCTGTAGTCATTTGAAACATTTTAAACACGTCCGCAATCACTTTATGAGGTCTTAATCTGCTAATAATTCTATCTTTAAGTATCAGAACTATGGTTAGTTTTTGATTTACGACAAAAATTGAGCCCAACATTTTTGTTGCAAAGCAAGGCATTTATTAAGTGAATTTTGCCGTGTTTTACAACCTTCCTTGCCACAGTTGTTAACTGAATCACTGCAGTCATTAAGTTAGTAACCTGGTTGTTAAGTGAATCTGGCTTCCCCATTGACTTTGTGCGAAGGTCGTAAAAAGGGATAGGCTGACCCTGGGACACTACAAATATGAGTCAGTTGCCAAGCATCTGAATTTTGATCCCATGCTGCAACAGTCGTAAGTATGAAAAATGGTCATAAGTCGCTTTTTTCAGTGCCGTTGTAACTTCAAGCTGTCACTAACTGAATGGTCATAAGTCAAGAACTGCCTGTAATATTAATCTTTTTTTTTTTCCTCCAAAATTCACAATTGAATTGGTTAGGCGTTACATTGCCAATATTTAGAAAGTTTAACCGGGAGTTCTCTTTTTCATTTTTTCTTCAAGAATATGTAGAAAAACCACTAAAACTTGTCTTAAAAGTGGGAGGAAACGAGGTCGCAGAACTTTCTACTCAGAGCTCGGTGCACGATTCCTCTCTGTATGAAGATAAAAGTGAATATGAGAAACACAAAGACAAGAAAAGAAAGAAACGGAAAAAAATGGAAAAACAAGTCCCCGGTGAGGAAAAGGAAAAAAGGAAGAGAAAAGTAAAGGTAATTATTAGAATAGTTACTGGGTTGACTTTAAGAGCTGGGGTGGCGCAGTGGTTAGAATGAAGTATTGCAAGCTCACTCTGCCGACTGTCAGCAGTTCAGTTCTCATTGGCTCAAGATTGATTCAACCTTCCATCCTTGAGAGGTGGGTAAAAGGAGGACCCAGATTGTTGGGGGCAATAGGCTGACTCCGTAAACCGCTTAGAGAGGGCTGTAAAGCACTGTGAAGCAGTAGATAATAAGTGCTATTGCTATTCCATCCATCCATCTTCCTTCCTTGATGATACAATGGTTAGGATGCAGTATGGCAGGTTCTGCCAACAGCCAGGAGTTCAATCCTGGCCAGCTCAAGGTTGACTCAGCCTTCCATCCTTCCGAGGTGGGTAAAATGAGGACCCAAGATTGTTGGGGAAATACGCTGACTCTATAAATCGCTTAGAGAGGACTGTAAAGCGGTATATAAGTCTGAATCCTAAATACTAAGTGCTATTAAAATGTTTTTTTAAATGTTCATTTATGCTGGATTGTTGAGATTATTAAGTGGGGCATGAAAATAATCCAGAACAAGTTTGAAAACGTAAAAAGTCTCCTTTTCAAATATTGGTTAAATTTAAACTGGGGGGGGGGGGAGGAATAGATTTGGTGCGGCTCTCCCATCACGCCTAGCCTTGTTACTCATATTGGTTTGAGATTCAGCATCTGCAAACTCTCCATTTTCCAGATACTGGAAGACTTTTTATATAGGAAGCAGCATAAATGTACTTAGTAGAAAGAATTTCCAGGAGCAGATTATCTAACCTGATACGGTTCCACCACAAAACCGCGGTAGACTAAAGCGCGCTCGATGAAAGCGCGTACGTGACGTCATCACAGTGCGACGAAAACAGCACACTGTGAGCGGTAAACTTAAAATTAACGCATAAATCTAAACCTAACCCTCCCAAACCTAACCCTAAACCTAAGCCTAAGCCTAAGCCTTAATCTACCTCTAAACCTAACCCTAAACCTAACCCTAAACCTAACCCTA